GCAGTCATTGCTGGCAAGGTCTAGGTGGGACCTGTTCGGAAAATATGAGAAATGGGTGCATGGGGCCTGGGTGGAAAATGCCTTCATCCTCGAATCATACAACCGTGAATTCTGCAAGGATCAGCTCGAGCATGCAGATGCCAATATCGGAACGTACTCAACTCCGTACATGGCGATTGCATGGCAGCCGGAAGGCGATGCCCCCAACAACTCGGCATGGCCTCTCTCGCTGGGATCAGTTGATTGGGCGCATTGGACCCCTGAGATGGAGATGCGCTACGATCCTCGGGGAAACGAAAAGTTCTTCACTTCACGGTGGATCACCGTTCGCCAACACGACGTTGAGCCACAGCATTGCATGGACTGCGGATCCGATTCCCCATTCGGATGTTTGTCGTGCTTGAACTGTGGACGACTAGCTCGTGTTGCAACGGATATGAGGAAGGCATCGCTGCTTGTCCGTCTTGAAAACTTGGCCGCAAGCTTCGGTTTCGACTTGTCATTGGACATGTTCCCGGATGACGATATTCGTGCCCGGGGGGACCGAGGGCTGAGGAATCCTGCAGGTGGTAGGATCAGGACTGGACAATCTGCCATTGCAACAATCCGAGCACACGCCAAGTCGCACATGGACAAAGCGTCCAAATTGGAATTTGGCTCGCTCACAGAGCGGTTGTGCTTGGATCCGTTCTACGCGTTCAACTGCGCGGCGCAGGACATGTCACCTGACTGTTTGAAGTTTTTGCAACGACTCAGTTCAGCGGTATTGCCCATTCCAACGCGCACCGCCCAGCAAATCCAAGAAGGGGTAGGCGTCAATGTGAAAGCGAAGATCTTGATGATTCCCGACACATCTCAGCGAGAAGTCGATGTGTCGAACGAGGTCTTTGTCTTCTGGAAGAACAAGATCCTACGCCCTGGTGTCTTTGTCGGACTGTACGCAATGGAACACCACCGCTTCGAAGTATTGGGGTTCTCTGGTTCATTCCTCTCGGAAGAGAAGGACGTTGAGAAGCTGAAAACGGAGTTTGTTGGATGGCTGTCATCCGACCTCCAGAGCATCCCGTCCTATGAGAACCTCGTGCGAGCAGACCCAAGGAACATCCATGTTCCGGAAAGAGAGGGTGTCGATCGAGCAAAAGGGAAAGGTAAGGGCGCATGGCGCCACGGAGGTCGACAGACCCGTGAGAATGCACCTTACCCAAGGAATCGATGGGCCCGTGACTGGAGGGACCTCGATGATGACGTTGGTACCATCCCAGGTTGGCACTATGCAGATTGGACCTGGTACCAAGATAACTACGGAGCGGACTGGTGGGGTCGCGGTCGATAAACCCCACCTATGCACGGCGGGAGCCGATGCCTTATGACAGTTGTGCTATTCTTTTCATCTAGTGCTTGTGGTAGCGCATTGTCTTTCTAGGCGTCGACATGCTCTCGGAAGCCCTTGCACGCGCTGCGGAAGCAGTTGCCTCACGTCATCTTCTTTGAGGCGGTCCGCAAGCTTTGCAAGGCTCAAATTCGATTTAGCCGAAGTGCACTCTTCCTGAAACGGAAGCATCACTAATTATGCCGCGTGGAAACGTGTGCCTACGTAAAAGGCCCATTTCCAGTTGACGATCCGCGGATGCATGTGAAAAGAGCTGCGTCCGACTGCAAATCGTCCGTTCGGCATTATACTTCATAATCAATCGAGTTAATCGTCGTTCCCCCGCGCCTCAGGTCGGCAAAGAATCTATGAAAGCCGCAGGCACGTACGGTGTTAACCATAAAAGGAAACACCGGGGAACCGGAGGTCAGATCAGTATGCACATTGTCCCGTGTACATAGTCGTGTATAGTGTTCTTCACTACCTTTGCTGCCAAGTGCGTTCAGCGGGGGGTGTATTTGCACGATTGTACACCTGTACATACCATATTGACCTCTATGTTTGGCTCAAGAAAAGGGCGCTCTACATGTTGGTACTTGTAGGCTGTTGGCCTGTAAATTCAATTGGTGTGGGATGAGAGGTTGCCAAACTGAAGGGACATGCTTCCAGGCCCAACTTTGGGTGCTGTGGAGCAGGACCAACAAACAGTGAAAAGTATAGCAGGCTGTTGCCGCCCTCTGTTTTTGCGGACGCTCCCTCACTGTTCAGCATGGACGATTGACATGACTCTGTGACTGCACAAGGCCTCCAGCTTCTACAATATCCACTAAATCCATTGCACACTTGCGCAGAAATTGAGGCGGGCAGCGCTGTCCCCATCTGACTTTTCTCATTTGAGGAGCAGGACGGAAAGACGTAATGTAACCTTGGTGCGTCTCGTGCTCCTCTTGCAGCACCGGTCGCCATGCCGTGAATGCTTTCACCGCTGTCGTCATGCTTGTTCTCCCTCGCAACTAACTGGACTAAGACTCGCACACAGAACAAATTTGGAACTCTACTCTACGAGGTTTACTGTATGAGGTTCAAAAGGCAAGACTTAGGACATGCAGAATGACGGGATATTGGCCAAGATGCTGTCCCGGCTTTGATTCCTGAATCCCAAGTTGACTCTAAGGGGAATCAGCTTTGTTCGCTGAGCGGCTCGACATTGCCACACTGAAGGAAATGATTAGGGATAAACCATATATATATATATACATAGCAGGAGAGTAAAACAAAACCCACAACGCTCACATCAAATAGCCAGGAGCTTTGTGGCGGAGACACAGGACTCAACGTGGACAGCAAAGTGTGAATGGGGCTGGTCTGAGCAGCATGAATCTAGAATATGTCGGTGTTGTGGCGTTTCAACCGGAATCCTGCATTTGCTACTGGAGAGTCGGCAGAAGTCTCAAGCGTTTTCTGTCTCTGGCTGAGCCGTCGATACCTTGTAAAGCATTCCGGGGGAGGGTCCGGATTTGGCACCAGGAGTCCGAGGACACCGCTGAAGGCATGGCTTTTTGAGTAGCTGTGGAGCTTGTGCTCATCGCACTTTGTTGCATTGCCGGAATCCAATCTCTTCATGTTTGAGGCTTGGAGCAGAGCCCACAGCACCTGCTCAATGCCTTTTTGTTGATGCGCCACCTCTCAGTTCGCTCTTTGCGGCGAGAGCTGCTAGGCGAGCACTGGGGCATGGACGGTGAACCGCAAAAGGGCCAGTTTAGAAGCGGTGAAGTGGCATGGATTCAACAAAACAGGCGACACTTTCAGACAGCAGAAGGCTTCCTGTTCTATTACTGGCCATGCAGGACTCTTGAATCTCTTCCGATTCGTGCAGCAGAAGCTCTCTCATGGGGTGCTGCTGTTGCAAGCCTCTGCAACCAGCCGTAGCCGCGATAGAAGCAACAAGAAGGACATACTTAGCTGCCTTTCGCCCGTTGTCACATCCTTTCCAAAATATTTCTTAATTTAGCGACCTTCTTTCCATCTGACAGTTGGCAAGGACATTTTTAGCGAAGAACCGGAGCGGCAGAAGGCCCTGGGGCGCGATGGACAAGCAGTGGACCCAAGTCTGTGTGTGGAGTCTTGTGGACACCATGGTTGATTACCCCGACTCTTGTTGCTTCGCTTGGTGCACAGTCGTTTAAAGATGCTGAAGGGTTTCGGCAGAATTTTCGCCACAGGAGCAGCCTCTCTTGGTGGGCGACATGCCGCCGTCCTTTCCTTTGGCCTTTCCAGTCTCTTGCAGAGGCGCCGCCATCTTCAGTCTGGAAGGTTCAATCAGAATATGGCACCATCGGGAGGCTATCCAAACCGTTTTGGAGAGCAAGCAGCTACTGTTTGGCTTGCCGGTCCCTGCTACTTACTTTGCACATTGACCGGAACACAACAAGTCCAGGCTGAAGGGCTTTCCCACAAATCCAGTTGGTGTTTGATTCTTTTTGGACTGTAAAATTTAACTTCCTTGTTGGACAGCCGAAGGAATTCCAAGCAGATTCCCTCCATTCTGGTGTCCTTTTGGCCAGCCCCAGGCCTGGCAGGCCCCCGGCTGCGGGATGCCTTAATGCGGCTCTCCGAGGCAGTGTCTTGACGTAAGATCTGGGTTGCTCCACTGGAGCAGACAGAACGAGAAGACAGCAGACAGAACTGGCCAAAGTTTTCTTGCAAAACTGATGTAATTTTGGGCAATGATAGCATTTGTGCCACCAATTGGCTCGGAAGAGGGTTGACAGATGACATGTGCCATGCAAAGCACTTGAATTCAATCATACGCCTTCCAAGGAGTACACCTTGCCCAAGGCTCGCCCAGGTGACTTAGAGGACTGGGCCCAAAAGCATGGCTGTTTGGGCACTAGAGTCACACGAGGTGGCATTGCAATATCAGGGTGACTCAGGGCAGGTTTGTCGGGTTGATGGTCCAGTGCTGGGCGACTCACGGGCTGCGGGCATTTGGTACATGTTTGCATTGAGGCTGAGCTTCAGGTCGTCAGCCTTTGAAACAGCCACGAAAAGTAGGCCTTTGGTGGTACACGTTCGATTTTTGGTCTCTATGTCTGGTGAGGAGGTTGTGGATGGCAACGGCCTGAAAGTGCTCCACAGCTCCGCCCTGGCGGACTTGGAGAAAGTGGAGCAGGAGAGGGAGAGAGACCAAGGAACCACGGCTTCGAAGCAGATCCAGTGGAAGCCTCGCAAGCTACGCTTGACAGGAGATGTTGATCATCGCAAGCTACGCTTTGGAGAAAGTGGATGCGTCCACCAAGGTGCTCGCCGCTGGGCGCAATTGTGCCTCCAGCCTTTGACTCTGGACGTGCTCTCAAAAATTGACTCGTTGGTTGGTTCTGCCCAGTTAATTATGATTCCACCTTCTGCAAGCCAAGGTTGATGCGGCAGGTCTTCTCGCTGAGGTCCACGAGTGTGAGGCGAGGCACACAGATGCCGCAGAGAATTTAACATAGATTTGAGTAGGACATGGTGCAGATCAAGCCCATGCAAGAAGCGACTAGGAGCAAAGGCATCGCTACTAGTAGCAAGGACGCTACTAGGGGCTCCTGGCCCTACTGCTAGGAGCAAAGGACGCGACTAGTAACAATCAATGGCAAGCTCAGCTAAGGTGGCTCTTTGCCGTGCTAAATGGCGCCTGGTGTCATTGCAGCTGTCTGCCTTCGAAAAAGCTTCCGTCGCCAAGTGCCTCACCTTGGCAACTACATAGATGTGATGCACATTCAACACTCAAGACCAGTAAACCGCAGAGTGTTTTTTTTGGCCGTCATGGCTGCAAAGGGTCATGTTTCTTTTTCAGCTGGTATTGTGCACATGGAGACCCCCTTTGGACAAAATGGGCAGTCTGGACCTTCTCGTGTAGTGCCCCACTTCTGAAATGGTTGGTGGCAGAGGTGGGACATTGCACAGCGCATTGTGGACGTCATGGCGCAACGCCCGTGCAACTTGGCAAGCTTTGTAAGCATGAGTGTTTGAGACACTCCAGTTTTGCATGACGCTCACTTCGCACCAGAAAGACATATGAAATATGTATGTATTACATATTTTCATACATATGTACACACTGAGTATGAGTACGCAGGGGGGTACTGGATGCAGGAGACCTTCTGAGTAAATCGCTTTCGGACGTGCAAGAACTTTGACAATAGACTCATTCGGAGTTTGTTTGTCAAACACTTCAGTGTGCGAAGCTCTATTTCTAAGGCTTTGATATTGCAACTGGGAGCTTCAAAGAAGCCTATCGCGCGCTAATTGCGGCACTCGATGATCGTGAATCCTTGCAGCGGACTTTTGGCAAGACTGGAATGCTTCGATAAAGAGTTTTTGGACCTTTGCTTCCTCCGAAAGGCACAGATTTCAATGTGTTTTTTTTCAAGGGCATTTATGCATTGCACACCGTTTCGTTTATCACTGCTCAGGACTTTGATTGAATACCAGCTTCGAAGAGAGGCCTTCCCAGCCATGAGCCTCATGGTGAAGCTCTCCATGTCTGACATTGTCAAGGAGTCAAAAACTGACTCAGAATTCGTTCATCGTGCCAAATTTCAACTATTTTCGACTCGAATCGCGATGCACAGTTTGGCCATTCTGGTGGGGAGGCCCTGAGCGTGCAAAAGCTCCATCGCCAAGCGCAAGTCTCTCTTCGGTGTGGCCGGTGACAGAGCTGCATTTGAGATTGAATGATTAGATGCACTTTGCTGCTATAGCTGCAGACACAGCAACGGGATTGCTGATCATTCTGTTCCACCTGCTTATTGGCTGAGCAGTTGAAGTGGGCTGACCAACTCCATCTTTGAGCATTTCCAACCAGTAGCCATTGTTTCAGTCGAACCTCCAAGCTCTTCTCCAATTTTGAGAACCGCCATTGCGCTGTCCTGCCCTCAGACTGCTGTTTGGCAGGCGTCTTGAGCTGGACTTGGGCCACCAGCGCGAGCGTGCTACAGCGGCTGCTGCATGGCAGCCCTCGCCGCTAGCAGGCTGTGGATGGCTGAGGGGTAAGAACAACGCATCGAACTGGAAAGCCATTAAGGCTCAGTGTACCTTTACCAAAGGGAAGGCATGCTAAAACCCAAAAGTCCCTAGTCTGGGTTCGCAGGCCTTTGCCAGCCAAACACATACTTTTCAGCTGTTGACAGACCTGAAGGTCCTGAGATGGAAGAGGATCCACAGCTGTGCATCGAAGATATGTTGGCACATCCAATGGAAGGCCGGAGTCCGTGCGTATCGGGTGCTGATACCATCCCCCACAAATGTGAACCGAGCGGTCAGTGGGCTACGGTCAGTAGCCTATGTCCAGAACCTGCCTTCAGAAAGAGTCTTTTGATTCTTATTCCTTCCGGCCAACCCTTCTTCAGCTTTTCTTTGCTGTAGGCCTTCCGACGGCCACAAATAGCTTGCTGGAGCTGACCTTGGAGTGCTGCTAGAGGTAGAGCACCCTTTACTCGGCTGATGCTGCAATCTACGGTAGCCCGACCCTTGGTTGGGATTTGTGATGCCTTGAATGTCGCTGCTCAGGACTTTTCAGATTCCTTGGCCATCTCGTGCACGAAAGCTCAGATGCATCGATCAGATCATTTTTCAAGCAATCAGTTTTTCTGAAGCTGTCGGCGGCACCTCATGCTTTCATACTACAGAGGGCCCTCTTGTGGGGCCAGTTGTGTTCAGCTGCGTTGGGGATTTGGCCTCAAAGGCCAAGTGGACGAGCTCATAGAAGCCTGTGCGATTCAACTGTCGGACCTAGCGCCGGAGCCAAGCTTCCGGCACCACTGGGTGGCTTGGCAAGAACGGGGGGTCAATTGGGTCAACCATGCGAGACCCAAAGCATGTATGTCATGCGTGAACAAAGATTTTCTTGTTTTCAAGTTGGGTTGCTCAGAATGTCGAAACTTTGTGTGGGCCACCAGGAGCGGGCCTGCTGCACTTTGCTTGCCAAAGAGTGGCAGGAGCATGTTGCACAAGCTGCTGTTCACAGTCCAGGCAGCGGTTCTGTGAATGTGGGTCGAATGGTCATTGTGGTCTTCTCAAGCTGATGGGATGCCATGCCAGGATTTCCACCAGGGTTTTTGAGATTCTTTTGTGTGGCATGCTGCTAATCGCAGGTGTGGGCACCAACATCGGCATCCGTGGCATCAGTGACGAAGCCGCTGGACAGCGATTACTCTACTGTACTGTACAGATCGGCAGATAGATAGACATAGACCAGATATCAGATAGACAGAGAGATAGACACAGATATATATATATATATATAGATACAAAAACAGATAGATTTAAGGGCTGCCGCCCCTGCCGCCGACCCCGGAAACACCTCGAGCATGACACCTCGAGCATGACGCAGACGCAAGGTTTCCACTTCGGCCGCCTGCTGCTAGCAACAGGGCCACTCTGCAGGGTCAGGTCGACAACGAGGCAGACGCGGAAGACGTCTTTCCACTTCGACTGCAACCACTGGAGCAAGGTAATGAAGACCCCCGAGCGCTGCGCGACAAGGACATTCGAAGTGCAGCAGAACTTCTCACAACGTCCCCGACCTTACCCGCGTCTACCACGCCAACTAAAGCACAAGAAAAGGCATACGACCTGCCCAGGTTTCATTGCGCTTTGCGCGACTGCGAGTACACGTGCTCGCAGCAAAATGAATTAGAACAGCATCTTGTCCAAAAACATTCAAGCGTACTGTTGCAGTTGTCGTTGCACCCACATGTAACTCACTCCACTATTGCGCAAGCTGTGTATCAAACCTATTTAGAGATCCTCCAGTACCGTTGCCGGCAAGGTGCTCCACTTGCCAACTGCAGCATCGATCGCCGATGCCTACGGCAATTTCGCGAGAACATTTCTCGCTGCGACATGGGGGCTGCCATTTGCTTTGCATGTGCACGTCGGTACCCCTTTATGCCCAATTGCCGCAATTCATTGATCACCTGGGTGCCAGCATATAACGCACAAAAACATGTGGTTCTGGGGCAGACGCCGGAGAGACTGGAACAGAGTCTCGGCTGGACCACGTTTCAAGAGCGATACATCGCATCCCTGCCAGAAACGACGCAAAAGGTTTTACGTGCTCAGATGGATCCTTGGAAATGTCAACTGCTCTGTCCCGGATATGCGCTCACTCTGGTAGGGTGTCCAGAAGATAAGAGATGTGAACGGGTACGACCTTGTGGTTCAAACCGTATGTGTGCTGATTGTGAGGTGCCTCTATGTACTACGTGCTTCCGCAATCTGTACCGCGAGCAACGCAAACCACCGGAAGCTTTGAGTAATAATATGCTTCTCGGACACCCGCCTCGTGAGCTATATGCGAATGAGTGCACCGTCTTGGAGCTCCTTTGCGCGAGCCCTTGCATGACAGCTCTCACGTGTTATAGGCCGAACCTTTGGATGGAGACACGATCCATTCAGCGCTGGGCTTGGCGTGGCACGGAAACGATTCCAACGTGGACGCGCAGCGCATCCTGGACTTAGCAACCAACGCTATCCAGTGGCGGTGGCTGCTGATAGACGAAATTAGTATGGTGAGCGCGGAAATGCTCGCCCGTTTAGAAGCACGGTGCCGACAACTCGTGCCAGATCTTTGTGCCACCAAGTACTCAAAGCAAACCAATGGTCGCGCGGCTCCATTTGGAGGCCTGAATGTCATCTTGTCAGGCGATCTATGGCAGTTGCCGCCGCCGCGAGGTACGTTTCTTGGTCAGATTCCCTGGCAGCTCCTCACGCACGTTCACTCTAAGAAGTGGCCGTTGAGCTTACAGGGGCAACAACTGGTGTGGGCAGCTGCTTGTGACGGTGGCATCCAGGGCGTGACAGAACTGGTGCAATGTGAGCGCACGCAAGATATATGGTTACAAGAACTTCAATCCGAGCTGCGCATTGGTAAGTTGTCCGAAAACAACCATGCTTTTCTCCATGGTCGACCGACCAACGTTCCAGGTAGTTGGCAACAGTCCCTCGGGCACCCAACCTGTGGAGAGGCCAAGTGTCAAGAGTTATACACGCAAAACAGCACCCCTACAACAATCAGACAGAAGGAGTGCCCGACCTGCCAAACAGAACGCGCGAGCAAGCACCTCGTGGCAATAGGGCCACGAGACTCGCGCTTCACAAACGACCTCGCTCGAGCGCAGGCCATCTTTAGCACTAACGTAGTGAAATGTCACGTCAATCGCATCCGCGCAGAAGAATGGGCCCGTCTCCATGGGCAACGTTTGTACTATGCGATTGCGCGCGATGTGGCGTCCTCGCAAACGCTGCACGCAAAACCAGATCTAGCCAAGGAAAAATTGGCGTGGCTGCAACGTAGTGATGCCGACTGCGGTGATCGGTGCGGCGCCTTGCCCTTATGCGTGGGCATGCCCGTGCAGGCACGCGAGCATATACACCGAGGTGATTTTAAGATCTTACGCGGTTGCCATGGAGTTGTACGCGGTTGGTCCGCAACGACGAGCGAGCAAGAAACCCTGCACAAAGACATTATTTGGAATGAGCTACCGGCGTACATCTTCGTACGCTTCACGACTCGCACCGAGTGGCAGCTTCCAGGAATTGCTGAAAAGAATGTCTTCCCTGTTGGTGTGGCACGCAAACCCTGGTACTTGGACGCCGGTCGCCCCAACCCCAGCCTGAAAGTCACGCGCACGCAGTTCCCACTAGCACCCGACTTCGCCGGGACAACGCACGCCTTACAAGGATGCACTGCGGAGCACGGTGCAATCGTGGACGTGGAAGCAAACCCCGATCCGATTGCAGTCTACGTGGGAATGACACGTTGCCGGACCCGGGACAAACTTATGATCTATCGCCCTTTTCCTTTGGCACCTTTACAAGCTGGGCTGCCATTGGGACGGCAGCTGCTGCTGGACATCTGGAAACAAGAACGAATTGACTGGGATGCCCTGCGCAAGAAATATCTCGATGAGAGACCATGCATGGAGTGCAACGAAAGCAAACGGAAAGACGGTTTCACCAAGGGCCAGTGGCGCCACGACAGCTATCGTGTCTGCAAAGAGTGCGCAGCGCGCAAACGTGACGCAGGGACACCGTATCGTTGCAGCCAATGTGGTGTCTGGCACGCCACCAGCCACTTTCCGTCAAAGCATCTGAATCCACGCTGGAGTTCGTACCGCGTCTGTTTCTCGTGTGAAGCCAAAAAGCAATGTCTCGTGTGCCACAAAAGTCTCACCAGAGAGTGTTTCAGCGCTGCTGCGTGGAAATGTAAACAGGACCGCCGAAAGTGCCTCACCTGTCAACGCAAAACCCGTGGCTTTTGGACTTGTGCCGGCTGTCAGCAACGAAAACAACGAGACCAATACCGTACCTTCCTGCGTCGGCGTCCATCAGGAGAGGATGGCCACCAGATGTGTGACGCATGTTGCGCAAGACAGGCGCAGCAGCGCAAACGCCAGCGTATCGCGTCTAAGTGCAACGCGCGTGTAGCGTCGCTGCGCCAACGAATCCACCGAGAACACATCCTGCAAGAAATCAAAGACCTCATCGCCAGGGAAGTCCACGCACGCAAACGTCTGGCTCAGACGACCCCCGGCGCACAGGAAACCACCGCCGCAAAGCGGCCCAAACAAAGCGCAGGTGCTGTGGCACCACACGCGAAACCAAACATTTCTATCGAGCCACCGCAGAGCACAGTCCCGCA